AAGTCCATATTAGCATTGCAGGGAAATGGCTGTTACGAAAACCCTCAAAGGACCTCAAGACTTAGCCTCAAAACTTTTTAAAACTTTCTATTTCAAACTTATTTGTGACAACGCATTTCTCACAATGCCCTTCTTTACAGGGAAGATACCACAAATTGTGCTGTTTACACAGTAAACACACACACAAAAAATCTTCACAAACATCGTTGAGAAAAGAATCAGAGTTGTTCCTTCCTTTATCCAGACTATTTTTAAATCGAAACCAATAACAAGCAGAGGAGGACTAAGGCAGAGATTAATGTTCCTCCATGCTTTTCAGCTTTATAAAGCTACTTTTATAACATTCAAGCAAATTGTACAGTGACTGACATGAACAAAATGACAGTAATCTGTCACTATTTCACATTTCCCACTAGGCTGATTCAAATAGTTATTTATGAACCTTACACTTCAATGGTCACTTTGATGACTAAACCATAAATTAGAATGTAAAGTGAACATAAATTTGATTTTGAAGTAACAACAAATTGTCAGCAAAGTGGGATATTATTTAATTTCTATCGACACGCTATGAAAAAGTCAGCAATACCAAGATGTGCTACATCATAATAAATCCCAACTTAGCAAAAATATGTATGCTACATCTCATGTTTGCTTCACTGCTTCTGCATTTAAAAATAAAAGCACTTTATATTATGCTTGGTTAGTTTTAAATGTAAGGTCTTAATAATGTCAGATGACTTCATTAGTTAGATCTTCAATTAAACAGGGAGCAAGAATGATTTTTTTTTTTCACAAAGCATGATTAAATTTGACGGCAAGTAAATATTGATATGAATTTAGATGCTAAGGTTTTTAATAGTCCTGATGAAAACCTTACTTTTAAGACAGTATTGCTATTTTTCCAACATTCATCTCTTGCTCTACAGCTAAAAGTGAGATGATGCTGAAACATAACAGGAACAACAGTTTTCAATGTTTTAGAAAAACTTTTTTTTCTTGGGCAGGGGGAATGACTCAGAAAAAAATAATCCTTAGTACCCAAGCATCGTCTTGCAGGGACTCATGTCAAAAAATTAGCTTGAAAAACAAATTTTCTTTTACCAGATTATTTTCTCTAAAAAAGTTCCATTGTCTATTATGTTACTCTGTGTGTTACTTTCTGTTACTCCTGCAAACATATAAGATAAACACATACACCCTTCCAAAACTGAATGCAGCATGATTACACTTTGGAAAATTTCTAGAAGTGTGTCACAGAAGAGATATTTCAGTGTAAGTTTCACTGGTTTAGCAGTGTTAAAAATGGAAAGTTGTGTCAGACTCTTTAATACTCCTTACTTTTCTAGTATATTTTTCCTGAAATTCTTACATGGAACAATGCCAAATTGTGATCCAATTTAAAACTACTTTGGCATTAGCATATTGGCTTTGCATGTGGGAGAAACCCCTTAAATAGCTGAGATTTGAAACAACAAGCAAATAAGCAAAACCCTGCAGGTTTAGCAATAACTGAGGCTGTTTGGCATTATTCTGGTATGTCCTAGTGACAAAGATATCCTCCAAGTAGCAAACGCTTATCAAAAAGAGGTAATGTCATTAGCTTGACAATAGTTCGATTATAATATATTCAAGATATTTGTATTAGACACTAGTTTTCTATGTTTGCAAACTAAAACATACATGGAGAGATTTTAATAATCTGAAAATTCAAGCGATGCTATTCCAGGGACCTAGAACCCTACATGCCCTTTTTGCTTCTGAACATCTTCCCGGCTGAAAAATTCACACCTACATATAAAACATTTTAAAGGAAGATTTATGTTTTATTTGGTAGAGCAAAATGTGGCTCTCAATGACTTCTCAATCTTGGGTCAAGAAAGATTTCTTATAAAATTTCTTCGCCATTACTACAAAGTAGCAAAATGGAACAAGTAGCGTATTAAAATGGTTTTGCTGGTGTAATTAAAAAAGCAGAATCCAGGCTAAGAGAAAATAACAAATCTTGTCTAACCTTTTGTTGCTGTCATTTTATTGAATGAAGTGTTAAATGCACAACATTTTTACTAGTGCAAAATACAGGCTGGTATATGAAACTGTTACCTATTGTTCACGTACAGGCTTGTTAAAGATACTTGTGTACGTACAGGCACATGTATAAGTTTATGTATGATCAAAATGTTCACTAGCAACCAGAGAACATAAAATGTCCTTAAGCCCAACTACTCCTTCACAAAGTACAGTAGGTATACCAGTCAGAGATTAACCAAGCCTGCCTGTTCTTCCTCTCTTTCCAAGGCAGCTGAAAGACCTATCTGATGCTGAGAGATAATCTTTAGTCTAAAAAAACTTCACAAAAAGGTGCAAGACAAGACCCACACCCCAGAAAGAAGAGTCCACCCTATCAAGAGTCTGTTTTAGAGAAATGGTACCTTTTTGGGGGTTCTACAGTAACAAGGCAATCTGGCTGTGGAGTCAGACAGAAGACTTTTATTTTAAAATCTAACCCTCACCCATTATGGCTCAGGTGAGTCAGCAGAACCATGCTTTGTCAAAAGAAAAGCTGGAAAGCTTTTATTTTAGCAAGACTTACCCGCCATCTGACTTAGAGCTGTTGTTTACTATTTAGGCTCATAGAACCAGTGAGAGCCAAATCCTACCCACATCAAGTTAGGATACCCCAAGTATTAAAAGTACTATATATAAATCAGCATCCTCATCTCCCAGATACATACCTACAAAGCAGGAACAGAATTTCCCACCTATTTCAAGTGCTTTGATATGTTGAAATTGAAATATTTTCATAAAAAAAGAGTACTTGCTATTATAAAAGAGTTGCGTCAAGTAGGTAGTAGTTTAGATATTTTAAAACAAAAATAAATTCAGTACACTTTAGTCATACATTTCACAGCAAAACAGTTATTGTGGTAGCCTCACTGTTTTCCTGATTTATCAAAGATATAATGTTTACATTCTTAACTACAACCATCACAGAGCATTTTCTGACATGTTGAAAGGTATTTATCTTAGTCACAATCTAGAAGAGATTTTCTGTAGCATTTGACTATGGGAGGGACCACATCCACAAATAGTTACTACTTTGATAGAGATTTCTGTAAGTGGCAGAATCGCTTGCTGTGACGGATGCACTCCTCCTGTTTGAACTAACTGATCTTTGGTCCAGGCAGATGCTCAGCAAGTAGGCCTAACTCAAGTTAATCCTGTTGTCAGAGGCTATCAGTGAGAACTTTGCACCAAATGCCCCCAAAAATGGTTTGGCTGGAGACTGGGCTTATAAGCAGCTGAAACTGCAACAACACAGCAGAAAATCTCACTACAAATCCACTACTTCATGTTATAAATATCTGCAGTCATCAGGGTCTCCTCCATAGCAGCTGGTTCCATGGCAATCTCCCTTTGAGTAGGAATGTCTCTCAAGGTTACCCCTCAAGGTTGAGAGATCCCTTACCTCACACCAGGCATCAACTGGGTGGTAAGTGACACTTTATGCATGCATGTAACATTTAAGATATGTATAGTAATCTTAAGTGATAATCTTTGTATCCCACACTAACTTTAAGTGCAGTAAATATGAGAGTATTGACCACCAATCCATCTGCATTTATTAAATACTTTACATACCAAAACTTACTGATTAGAACTCTAAACTAACTCCTAGCTCTGATCTGAGTGATCTCTGACTCTTCTCCTGCAACACCCCCTCTTTCACTGTCTTCTCTAGCTTCCAATACTTCCCTGGAGAATATTGGATATCAAAGCTCTCCAAGATAAAAACCTCAAAAAGAAGAGCTGAAAATGCTACTCATCACCTACAGATATGAGTAAAAACATCACAACGTTTAAATATAATCGCATTGAATCAATCCAATCTGAATTGCTTCTTTGAGAAACACTTTTAAAATACAAAAATAGCAGTGTTTTGGTTCAAAAAAGATAGCAAAGCTATGGCAGCACAAAACACCACCTGCTCCTCAGAGAAGAAATTCCAAAGAAATAATTTAACTTGCACCAAAATATTCATATTTAATTGCTGAATCAAAGGGCCCAGCTTCCTACCAAAATAAGAATTCAGCTAACTGACCTGGTGGTTGTTAAAAGATTCATTTTAAAACAGACCATGGAGGAAGAGGTGAACACATTCATTTGATATTTAATAAAAGTACTGTTGAGCTCTGACCAGTGTCACTAAGTGCAGATTTTGCAAGGAGGCACAGCTTAAGCATTGTAAGCGCCCTTAGAGTTCAGAGGTAGAAGCTTGCTTTCTTCAAATTTCCAGTGGTCACTCTACATAAGACAGTGGGTATTTATGAGAAGTAACAAAGTATAAAGTTCAATGAAGTATAATTCATGTCTAAATAACGTGGTACCCAGTGGAAGGAGCAGAGATCCTATAAATGCTACTCAGACAAGGTCAGAGAAAAATATTGCAAGTGACTTAACTTTTTCCAGAGAAAAATCTATCACCCTGCTTGGACACATTTAACCAGCATTTACTTAATTCACTTTAGGATTTTCTTATTCTGCTACTGTTCTAAAACTGTATCTGGAGGTAGGGAAATACAAACTCAGAATGCAAGACTATTTGGAGTGTCACAGCCACTCTTCTAAACCTATGATGGAAGGAGGAAAGCATGAGGAAAGGAATCTAATACATGAGCTAGAGGAAACAGATTCAAAGGAAAATTAGGGTAGAACATAGAAGCAAGTGAAGAGATAATAAAACAAACAGCAGAAAAAGTAAGATGGGCATATAAGCTTTTAACAATAAGGCCTGTTCCAGTTAATGGAACAAACATCCCTAAATACCCTATTGCAATTATCATGGATAAATGGATGTTTCCCATCCTCTCTAACTCATACAAAAACTACTGTTTCTCCAGAGATGTTTTGAGCAAGGATCTATTTTTTTCTATCTGTAGTGGCATAAGACAGTTAACTGAGTAGTGTACAACTTAGATAAATGAGAGAAATAAACATACCTGCCGATGAATAACCTCTAGGTTTGCTTTGGCTTTATTCACTAGTTCTTCTATTTTTTCAGAATCCTTTATATTCTTGTTTTCTCTGAAGGCATCTCTTATCCTTCTGATGGCATACGTTCTAAACACAAACAACAAGATGACATTTATTCATAGGTGTGATGCAGTTTATAACATTTCAACATTCTTTAAATCATGATGATCTTTAAAAATAAACATACACACACATACGTTTTCCCCAGTTTTATACATATATCTTTTTATTCAGGGTCTTGTCTTGCCTGAGTTGAAACAGTGACCAGATTCCTTAACTGAAAAAAGAAAGTGGTTTCACTGGAAGGTATTATAGAAAAATTTCATACCAGTCCAGTCCTTAGTGCATGTTATTGCTGTAAACATACTGTTGGATGCCCAGCATGGATAGTGCAAAGCTTAAGAACATAGATCCCCCAAATTATTTTGAATCAGTGCAACTATTCTTATTCTGCATAACCTTAAAGATCATTGAGCAACCACTCATTATACCACCATTATATGTTATTACTAGTTCTGACATCTAGTAGTCAACAAAGGCAGATGGACCAACCATAACAAAAAGGGCTCATTCCCTGTCACCCCCTTCCCCTCCTGACAAAGTATACTTCACCTCTCAGCCCAACACTTCCTCATCCATTTCCCCACTAAGAAGAAGGAACCGGACACAGTATCTTCAAGTAGGATGAGGTTATGATCTCTAGTTTCAGAGAGGTACAAAGCTACAGCCATCTCCAAATCTCTCCCCTTCCTTTTCAACCTAGTAAAGAACCTTTACGCAGTCTGTAATGTACCGCTCAATAAAAACCAGGGCCAATATCAATATTAAAATAAATTTTTCAGACTCAACAGTAGATACTTTCTTTACACATATGCTTGGGAGGGGAAGGAGAAATGGCAGTAAACTGATCCTGCTCAGCTCTCTTGATAATGTCCCACTTCTCTGTCACCACATCACATCAGTATCATTTTTACTACAGAAAGTAAAAACCCTATGTGTGGTGCAGAAAAGAGAAAAAAAAAGGTTGCTGCAAACATCACAAATAGTATAATATTTCAACAACCATTTTCAGTCTTGTATAAAAGTGAAACATGAAACACAAAATTGTCTGAAACACGATCATAAACCACTCCAAAGGCGATGTTGAAAAATAAAAATACCGGGGGAGGAGACTGAGGAGGGGAGAGCAAGAAGAGGAAAGATGAACAGCCAGCAGCACTCCGTACCATTAGATGGTGCTATCCAGCTCCTAATGCAGCCTCCACTGGCCAAGCGGCATATTTTCTCTTTGAGCTCATAAATAATACATTTCAGTCACAGAAATCAGGATGGTTATGGAGTGCCACCCTGCTGCCACACACCGGCAGATGGTGCGTGCTTTTAATTAGGGCCTGTTCACCTATAATGTGACACCGGGGTGCGTGAGTGAGTGAGTGAGTGTGTGTTTGTATGTGTGAAGTTAATAGAATGTATTAAATATGGAAGCTCATTCTCATCTGCAGCTGCTGTCCTAGCGCAAGATTTGAAGGGGAAGCTACTTATTTCTTCTAGAAAAGAAACAGCCCCAAATAATTAAGATGTAGTGTAATTTTGTTACTTCATAATGGATGTATTTCTAATCACTCCATATATATATGTAGGGTAAAACTGTGCAGAAACAGAAAATATTTTCTGAAAAAAAGGAAGGGTTTCCAAAAAGATACAAAATACCTTACATATATATATATATATATATATATATATATATAAGCTTAAAAGAAAACAAAAAGCAAGTATCTATTACGTTACGGGTACAAGTTTTTCAAAATTAAATACAAATGAGTAAAAGCTATCTATATAAAAGAAACATAGATGGGACTAAAACAAATTCTTGTTCAGTGTAACACCTACAGACCGTTGGTTTTTTTTCTTTTGTACATATGGTGCATTAATTGTTCTATTTTTTCTCTCTTCCTCTCACTACACCCAACAGTGGTTGAGAAAGATGAGATACGTACTTAGAAAACATCATCAGATCAGTTTTGATCAATAGTCAGAAAGTTGTACTGTTTTTTCCTTTTAAAATTGCTTTAAACCTTTATAAACACTGACATCCAAATGAAGTCTTCACATATGATTTAACACAATCTTAATTCTACAGCTAAATCAGCACATCTCCAGTATTCTCTAAACACACTTCAAAGACTAGCTCTATATTCTGGTACTACTGTTTACTAAGGTTCCATTGAGATTCAATATATCACTTAAAATAAGGATGAGCTGAACTCAAAGCTCAAACCCAATACTATAATGACTATAAAACATCCTTTTTTCCCCATTGAGAGGTGCCAGGGAAACATTTCACCAACACTCAAATTCTTTCAAAATTATATAAAAGTTGTTAAGTCAAGATATAAACAAACTGGCAGTTTTAGGTTGGTTTGTTTGTGGTGTGTTTTTTGGGTTTTTTTTGTTTGTTTGTTTTTGTTTTTCTTTTTTTTAAAAAAACCCAGCTTTTTATATGCAGTAACAGTTGTGAGAAGTGTCAATTCCAAACCTCAGTACTCTCTACACTTCAAGAGTTTCTGAACTAAAATGTACTAAATGCTAGTACTAACATTAGGGCTGTGATACTGCAGAGCTCTTTTGAAAGTACAGTGAAATAGGTAGCAACATGTAGTAAAGATACACACACTATGAAAAGACCTTGTTAATTCAGACATATATATGTCAATCTTTTAAAAGAGCACTAATCCAGAGATCTTCAGGTTGATGAACAGGCTGGTCAGCTGATCAGCTACTCTAATGATGTGTATTTTCAGTTCAATATGCATAAACACCAAAACCAATCATGTACCATTTGAAGGCATGGCTCGAAATACCAGTGTGGCAGAGAATATATGGCTATCTTTTCATAAAACTTCACATTAACCTAAAAGCAGCAGCAGTAACTGAAGACAGACTGACAGATGAAAAGCCTAACAACAAATTAAACACTTCCTGTATTTTATGGATGATTATTTACGGAAGCTGGCACAAAGGAACTGAGGGCAGTGTGAGTGAAGGGGAGCTGCTGCAGTTTTGCCACCCTCCTTGGTAGGCACAGACCTTCACTCTGCCTCCTTCAGACCAGCACAGACAGTCTGATGTTTGGCCATGAGGTCAGCCAGTAACCTGACAAAAGGCCAACCTACCAAAAGGTTGTTTTGTTTTGTTTTTTTTCTGGATTAGTGAGTTCCATCAGCTCTGCAGGGAACTAGATCAGCATTAGCTCTGAGGAGGAGGGAATACCACAGTACTAATTTAGATGGATACAGTTTGTTATAGCCCCCACTCAGAGAGGCTGAGCAAGCTGCATAAACAAAGAGGACTCTTCAGTGAGAAGGTACTAAGCAAACTCTCCAGAAACAGAATGGGAAAGCATTTCTGCATACAAGTACATTCAAACAGCTCCTACAGACCTTGGGAAAGGTCCTAGGAATGCAGCATTCATTAATACTCATCATGTTCATTAATAAACATAATTGCAAATGAAAACTCAAACTGCATTTCACAATTTACTATTTTTCTCACTATTCTTTGGAAAGAGATACTGAAAAATGGCTGAAAGATGCAACGAGGCATTTTCTTTTTGTCATCCAAGCACACTGAAATTATAACGGAGAACACGTATGATTTTATCTTCTGCAAGCACCTTCTAGCAAGCTAGTGACAGCAGGTCCCAAGCAAGAGTGTACTGTTGAATATATTCACTCAGCACTCTCTTAGATATGCACACTCAAAACACCCCAAACACTTTTTGTGATCCCTACTTATGTGCATCTGTCACACAATTAACTCCCAATTAAATCAAAAGTATGTACTCAATGGGTAACAGACTCAGTGTGATGGCTTCAGACCAAAGCCACCGCAGGTGGATGGCTACGCAAGGTAACAGATGCACATCAGTAGAAAATAGAAAGAATGGTTGGGCATTAATACGGGAACAATGCCAGGGCCAAAACATTACCACAGACTCACAGGGAATGGACACTACTAGCTAATGTTAAGTCAACAATGCCCCCACATAATAGTAAAAAACCACAGAGTTATGGTTAGAAAACAGTATTTCCCTTAATACTCAGTCATTCACCTCCACCTTCAAAGAGTTCATCTTTTTCCTTCCCTGAAGCACAATTGAAAACCTAACATGTGTCCTCATAAAAATGAAGCCTACGAGAAGCAAAGTCTGAAACAACAGCTATTAAGGAAAAATGAAATCACAACAGAGGTACTTTAGAAAATAATAGCTGCTTGGGGATTTAGATATTTTTATTTCAAAATGTTTACTTATGTCATGCCTGACCAGAAAATAAAAAAAATCCATTTCCTCTTCAAGTCTTCACTCTTGTATCTGTGCTCTGCTAAACAAAGTGTAAGAAAAGAAGCTGAAACACTGTGTAGAAATACCTGCATTTAACTAACTACACAGTACTATGTCTTCAAATTAAATCTGCCCAAGCAGTATTTTTCTCAGCACCACTTTGCATTTACCAGTATCACAACATGGTAAAGGTGTAAGTCATCTTTCCAAGACAGCTTTACAAACATGTCAACATCTTGTCTTTGTGACTGTGAACAAATATAATGTATTAAAAGATCACATCACAGTTATAGGCAACATACTGCGAAACATAATGGCTATTACAAATTGTAAGTCGTTGAGCACGTACACAAAGAGGAGGATCGCAGTACACAACCTGTGCAAGCAAAACAGTTACAAAGAAGAGGCCAACAGGTTAGAATATTCAAGTATTTCTAAAAAGGTATAAAGTAAAATGTATTTTTCCTTATTAGTTTAAATTGTATTTAATAGATTAAGGCAAGTGATCAGTAGCCAATCTCTAAGATGCCCGCTGTGGTTAATAACTCTGAAATGAAGTACACGATGCTTTTATTTAAGGACACAATGTGCAAGAGTGAGATACTGATTTACAATACAGTAATATTATATTAAATGAGGGATCGTTTTCGTAACAGGTCATTGTCTCCTTTCATTAACTGTATTTTCTTACCACTTCTCCCTTCCAATTACCAATATAATTTTTTTATTAAGGTAGAAACAGCATGATTTTCAGAATTTCCCATTATTACTTGCAAACTGTGCACCAAATGAATTTCCCTAACTGAATTTTCAGAATTACATATAATTTAAAAATGGAAAGTTTTTCTAATTAAAAAATATCTGCAAATAATCATTTTAGCTTGCTTTAAACTTTTATTAGCATTAGTAAGGAAGTCTCCATGTACAGAATTATTTCAGAGGGAATGATTATCTTTATATATGTGTACATATTTCCATATATATGTATGTATCTACATCCTTTTTTCCTCTATAAAGGTCTCAGTAAAAACACCAATAAAGGTGAAGCAAAAGCTGCACGCAAATACCATTTAATACTAAAAAAAGAAACATTTGACAACAGATGTGTTTTTGATACAGTAGTAAGTACTTCACAAGGGAGTAGCCTTGACTTGTCTAATTAAACACAGGATGCACAGAAGGGTGTGGACGCACTATTTTATCAGAAAGGTGTTCCTCAAACTCCATGACTACACACATTTTCAGCACTGCCACCTCAAGTTACAGCACAACAACAGTGACACTTGCCTGTTTTCTAAAACCAAAGAAAAGCCTATTCCTGGAAGCAGGATTTGTTTGGGAGAGTGGGGGTGGTGGCTGGGACAGGAGGAGAGAAGTGTAAGGAAACAGATAAATAAGACTCTTGGTTAACCCAGTATTATTTCCTTGAATTTTCTATTCAGAGTCCCTAAACAGTCTTCACAAAAAGTCTATAGAATGAAACCTACAAGCCACTACTTGGTTTCTCTGCTAATATACAAATATGAGTTGCAATGGAATTGTGAAGAAATATGTCCAGAAGAACAGCACTAGAGATACTTTATGAGAGATGAGAGAAAGAACAGAGGAGAGGGATAACAGTTGATGAACATTAGAAAACATGCTTGAGAACTGGTGACAGTGACTCAGTGTATATGATACATGTCGTATGATCAGATACAAGGATTTGTAATTTATTTCTAAAGCAAATCTTGCTCCTTTGTGTCCCATATCTCAAAACTTCCAATAAAAACTTCAACTGTCTCTGTGCATGTTGCCCTAGATCAGAAAAAGCTTCTGAGTGCCTATTTCAAGTTTCTTTCAATTTTCTTTAACCAATCTAAAACCTGAAAATTACTCCCACATTTATATACACACACACACACCCACACACACCCCCCCCCACCCTCTCCTGTGGCTGCTTTTAGGAAAGGAGAACTTTTTTTTTCTGACTGTATCCTTTCATCAATCTGTGCTTGTACCCTTTTCAAAGAAGAGAGCATGGATGACCACCCAATCAAAACGATCACAGAATCACTCATGTTGGAAAGCAGCTCGGGGTGTTTCTAATCCAACTTCCTGCTAAAAGGCAGGTCAGCAATGGGATCAGACCAGGCTTTGTCCAGTCAAGTCTTGAACACCAGGATTGTGACTAGCCTCTGGGAAACATGCTCAATTGCTTGGCTGTCCCTGTGAGAAACATCTTTTCCTTCACTTTACATCTGCTGTCTTTTGTTCTCCTGCTGGGCACCCCTGGATACTTTGAGGGAATGGCTGCTATTAGGTTCTCTCAATGCTTTTTCTTCTCCAGGCTGAACCAGTCCAGCTCCTTCAGACTTTTCTCACAGGGCAAGTACTTCTATCCCCAATCACCTTTCTTCATGTTATCCATGTTTTTCTTGCACAGGGGGTGGAGGCAAGATTGGATGCAGTACTCCAGCTGTGGTCTAACAACCTCCCCTCAATCTGGTGGCTGAGCAACTGCTGGACATTTCAGGATGCTCTTGGCCTTCCTTGCTGCCAGGGCACACAGCTGGCTGTCTGCCGGGCTCCCTAGCCCCTTTTTGGCAGAACTGTTCCCTGGCCAGTCAGTCCCCAGCCTGTTCTGTGGCTGGAACATCTCCTTCCCAGGTGTAGGACAACACATTTGTCATTACTGAATTTCATAAGGCTACTGTTGGCCTTTTCCTTCAGGCTTCTGAGGTCCCTCTGGATGGTAGCCATGCCTTTCAGCACACTGGCTCCCTGATTTGGTGTCATCTGTAAACTTAATGAGGAAGCACTGATACTTCCTCTGGGTCATTGATAAAGATGTGAAAACAATGAACCCCTGAAGACTCATTAAATACCATCCCCTAAGCTCCAGCATCCAAACAGTCTTAAAGGTGCATGGCTATCCACCCACCCAGACTGCAATACCCTAACATGGATACAAGAATGCTGTGGGAGTCAGTGTTGAAAGCCTCCCTAAAGTAGAGGTAAACAATACCCATTGCTCTCCCCTTGTTCATAAATCCAGGCAATCACATTGGTCAGGCATGATTTACCCTCAGTTCCCAAACACCACCTTCTTCATGCTCCCACAACGCTATCAGTGCCATTCATAGTTAACTATGACTATTTTTGCAGTTCAGTTTTTGTTGCTATACTTCTAAAATAAAAGCAGTTATTGGCTTAATTCTAAGTGTAAAGAATCTCTGCAGAAGGGAGTCCTTTTCAGAAGGTCAGGGTTAAAAGAAAAAAGGAAAGATGTCCAAACAAAAGCGTTCTTTTAATCTTAATTGGAGTTGCAACTGCAATGTTATCTTGTAGAAGAGGTTAAAAGAGAGGGTTACCAGTGAAGGACCCAATCGAACAAGTTGTTCAGTTAACGAGGCACTGGGCAAGGATGTGCTGCTGGAACTAGAAACAGAATTTGCCACGGATGAAATAATAGCTCTCTGCTAAGCTTTCACTTCCAAAACCCTGCCAACTGCTCACCAGGACACTTGGATAGCTCAGCAGTCCAATTACCAGGTGGGGACTGCCTTGAAACCATACGTTGAAATCCTGACAAGGCTGATTTCTCTCTTCTTCCTTTTGAGGCAGATATATATACCGTTCCATTTGCTGTGCTGCTGTTTCTGAACAGTTCTTAAAAATGGCCTGGCCTGCTGTGAAATGCCATTACAAATTCCATTATACTTTTCTCTAAAGATTCAAGTTTTAGTCCAACGCTGTGGCCAAATTTTCTCTCTTCAGCATGGCTAGGGGTTACCTTCCATTCTAAGAACAGACGCAGTTTAGCTTGTGATCATACAACACATGCAGGACAACCAGATGATCAGGTCCAGTCAGCATGGGTTTATTCCTTCTACGACAGGGCAGGCTGCTTATTGGATAAGGAAAAGGTTGTGGATGTTATTTATCTTGACTTCAGTAAGACCTTTGACACCGTTTCCCACAGCATCCTCCTGGTGAAACTGGCTGCTCGTGGCTTGGATGGGCACACACTTTGCTGGGTAAAAAACTGTCTGGATGGCTGGGCCCAAAGAGTTGTGGTGAACGGAGTTAAATCTGGTTGGCAGCCAGTCACAAGTGGTGTCCCCCAGGGCTCGATTTTGGGGCCATTCCTGTTCAACATCTTTATTGATGATCTAGACGAGGGGATCGAGTGCACCCTCAGTCAGTTTGCAGATGACACCCAGTTGGGTGGGAGTGTTGATGTGCTCGAGGGTAGGGAGGCTCTGCAGAGAGACCTGGACAGGCTGGAGCCATGGGCTGAGGCCAACTGGAGGAGTTTCCATAAGGCCAAATGCCGGGGGCTGCCCTTGGGACACAACAACCCCCAGCAGCACTACAGGCTTGGGGAGGAGTGGCTGGAGAGCTGCCAGTCAGAGAGGGACCTGGGGATGTTGATTGACAGCCAGCTAAACAGAGGCCAGCAGTGTGCCCAGGGGGCCAAGAAGGCCAATGGCATCCTGGCTTGTGTCAGCAATAGCGTGGCCAGCAGGGACAGGGAAGGGATCTGACCCCTGTACTTGGCACTGGTGAGGCCACACCTCGATTCCTGTGTTCAGTTTTGGGCCCCTCACTACAAAAAGGACACTGAATGACTCAAGTGTGTCCAAAGAAGGACAAGGGAGCTGGTGAAGGGTCTGGAGCACAGGTCATATGAGGAGCAGCTGAGGGAACTGGGGATGTTTAGTCTAGAGAAGAGGAGGCTGAGGGGAGACCTCATCGCCCTCTACAGCCACCTGAAAGGAGGTTGCAGAGAGCTGGGGATGAGTCTCTTTAACCAAGTAATAAGTGACAGGACAAGAGGTAATGGGCTCAAGTTGTGCCATGGAAGGTTTAGACTGGATATTAGGAAGCATTTCTTTCCAGAATGGGTTGTTAGGCATTGGAAGGGGCTGCCCAGAGAGGTGGTGGAGTCCCCATCCCTGGAGGCGTTTAAGATTTGTGTCAACATAGTGCTGAGGGATGTGGTGTGTAGTTGGGATCTGTCAATGTTAGGTCAATGGTTGGACTGGATGATCTTCAAGGTCTTTTCTAACCTAGACGATTCTGTGATTCTGTATTGCACCTTGTGGAGACTATAACTGTTCATTTAGAAACCCACTGGGTGCTAAGCAGCCTTGCAGGATGCAACTATTTCCCACTTGTCAATGGAAAATTATTTGTCTCTGATGAAGCAACAGTGCTTAGGTTTTTTTAAGCAACAAGGCAAAGAGCTGTAGGGTATTCCAGCTTCTTGGACTGCAGTCTGGTTAGTGTGGATCATGATGAGATTTTGATAGGACATTTCTGAAGCACAGCATTATTTCTGAAACTAAAGATTTAAATTTAATAAATATCTAGTTACAGTACTCATATTATTCTTTTAATACGGAAATGATAAAAATGCCAGTTCCTTAGGAGAAAAGGGATCAAATATTAGAAATGCATTGACAGCATACAGTTTTAAAATATTAAGTGGGATATTTTGACTTAGAAAAGACTTCAAGAAACAGTTCTCTGAAGGCTATGCGAGGTGAAGCTTTGTTGGTCATTTTGACAGGCTAGTAATCTTGAGCGTACAGAACATTCTCCAAACAAACTTTTACTTTGCAAAAGTGATTCATGGATTCTAGTAAAGATGATTAATTCTGCCTCTTGATTTTTGCTCAAGTAAACCTGCACTTTTTGAGAAAGATTTTAAGCATCATATGTCCAAAATGAATCTAGTAATAAACCCCTATATTGAAACTAGATAGGATCCAGTCATCTCATCACAAAGACAGCAGTAAACCGTAACTAATTTATTAAACAATCCACATTACCGGACTTGGAATATTGGAGTAATTCTCCAAACTTTATCCTCTCATCCATTTCTATCAGCTTTACAGCTTATCCAAAAACCTTTGTTTCTTGTAACTCAGTCAGCAGTGAGAAACATCCCCCACTGCACCTCCCATCACCATATTGCTATAAATAAGGGAAGGTCATTGAGCCAAGCACTACATGTTTAGTTTAGCAAATTTGAAACATCAATTTTGACAACAATGATATTTGAAATTACAATGGAATACTCAGCGGCACAGAAAATTATAATATATGCAAAGCTTATTAGTCAAACCTAGAGCCTAAAAAAAAAAAAATAAAATCAATTTGGAACACATAACAAACCCACCATCCTACTTTGTGCATAAAACAGAGTACTGAATATTATTTTTAGACATTTAGGATTGTAAATAGAGTGCCTTTGGAAAATACATGAAATGCTTCAGGAAGCTCAAATACAGACTACTGTGATTATCTTACCAGAGGCTCCAAAAAAAATAAATGCAGCTTGTTTTGTACACTATGAATGCTACCTAAGGCACAGAAAGTCAAGTGAACTAGATCCTTCCTTCTGTATTTTTTCTATTTAATTAGTTACAGGATATGGAAGTCTTCATAAATATTTCTTCTGAGCCGTGTATGGCCTCCACCTCTAAAATTACGGTGCATACACCCTTACTCTCCAAACTGTAGATCCCAGCATACAGTGCAATACTTTGATCTGACCAGACAATATATCATTTAATATCAGACAGAAAAATGAGATTAAATATAAAACATAAGCCATGCTTGTCCAGTGAACACAAGTCATTCAATAAATGTGCCAACAGAACGTCTGTGCATTGAAGCAGCTTAGTCTAACCACAGGACGGGAGATCAGAAACATTCAGGTAGACAAAGAGAGAGATCAATTTTCTTTCTCCAAGAAGAGAAACATCGACAAAATATTGGGTTTTAATCTAGTCAAGACCAAGTATGTTAAGTTCAGATGTTAACATTTAGTCAGTATTTTTAAACAGTAATTTTTAAACAGTTTTCCAGTCAAACTCTTAACGCTCTTAGATACACTAAGAAGAAAAACCAATCCTCTTATTCTATTTCTATATCTATGTATGTATTCTACTGAATGAGAGTAAGTTCAGACTGGTACATTTATGTATCACAAAAGGTTCTGCATTTCAAGCCAAAAATGTGTTACAAAAACCCCCAGATAGTACTTAATAGCTAATGAAAAGTCACAAGAAAATATTCACTCACGAGTGATGGCAGCACTTTTTGTTCTTTATTTGTGATTAAGAAAAAAGCTCATAGAGCAAACACCAACTCCTTTCCCTCCCATAAGCACATGGCTGTAAGGAGATAACAATTACTCTAAATGTGGAATTAACATCTGGCTTAAAACTCAGTAACTCAGATGAGCACTGGCTAAGGTTACCACGTGTGACATTAGGAGAGGAAAAGAGGTATGAAGAGTGGTCTATTATCATAACAGTGTTTTCAGTATAATGTTTTATTATCAGGGTAGATTACCTTCCCTTTGACACACAACATGACCTTCCATTACCCAGGGTAGCAGAAAAGGTTTCCAATCTTGTAATAAATTACCCACAGAAGTTGCAGAAGCACCAGGTCCCTAGCTAATTGTAGCAATAACTTGCACTGATAGAGAATTTCTCCTTCAAGGATTCCAACAAATTATTGGGACATAAAACCCCACAGTCAAGCCTCAAAATCCATATAGGTTAGTAAGTACTGCCACTAGATCACAGAATAAGCAGTTCTGTATAAGTATGTAAGTGTAGTATACTTGGTTGCCCAACACTGCATCTCCCCATAGCTGGCAGGAATTATGTTCATCCTATGTTTTCATTGCTTTCAGATGCTGATAAGGGTGCCACCATCAGTTTGATAAATATTCACCTTCACATGGAAAATGTGCAAATAACAGCCAGCAATTTTTCGCATAAATTATAGACTGAAAATAATAAATCAACAAATTTAGTAAAAAATGTGCTCAGTAGTTCTGGAAATCAGGAAAGCTATTTAGAGGTCTACACAAAATAGATTTCTTATTGTTTTGTAAACAAAACACTTGAACATTTATTTTCATATTGTAAATTAGTCAGGTCAGGAAAAAGCATGAGTGAGACATCTAATTTACTTTAGACAGTGATAAAACTACTTAAATCAATCAATAAATGTTACTCCCTTCAAAACTAGTTTACATAGAAAGACCATTAATTTGAAAACCTATTTGACAATCTATTGGACTAAAAAAAAATGCTGTGATATTTTAGATGAGTCAGAGATGTTTTCTGGAACTTAGTAGCAGGTTAATTTCAAGGCAACACAACGCCCTTCTATATGACATCCAGAACATAATTCAAGCTATAAACTCCGAGGACGTACTGCAGCTTCTACTATGTCTTAAGCACTTAATTTGAGCTGTGGTGACTTTAAAGCATTTTCCTAAGAAGGAAGCAGCCTGATATTATTTAAATAAATAAAAACACTGATTATAAGGGGAGGCACATTTTGGTGAATAAATGAATTTATGAAGAATTCCATTAGTGATTAAATCCAAAACTTGACAAAAAGTGATTGCTTGAACCTAGCCCCTTCCACTCTCAGTTTCCCTGTTCTTAGCTGTGATTAACAATGCAAATAAATGATGGCTTCTCAACTCCCCCCTCCCCCCCCCCCCCCTTCAAATCTTCCACAGCTATTCTAACATAGCCTGCAGAAAAGTGTTTAACATTCACTGAACATGTAACCATCAACAGCAGCTACCCACAAGGTAAACTGATTCTCTCCAACACCAAGGCTCTGAAGAAACTTGTATCCACATTTCTCCTGCTTATGAAAACGATGAACAGTTTACACCTACCTGTAACTGCAACTGAGCATTGTGATATCTGTATGTTTGTTGGAGAAAGCCAATGCCAGTAAATAAATACTACCAAGCAAAATTACCAAGTATTCCGCAAGCAAATACTAGTTAGCAGAAATACATGCTGTGCAAGAGAAAGATGAAGACAACTCTGTAAAGACTGACCTCACAGGATACAAGACTATTCTCACAGGCACTTAAAGTCACAGAACTAAATTCAATTATATATAAACTTCAATACAAGAATGGATTAGTGATTCTTGCAAATATATTAGAACTGATTGTAATTTTAGGGAGAGATTTTTTTTTTCTTAAACACATACTTTCTCTGGCAGCTATAAGACGACAATCTTACCTTTATACAAGGTAATGATTTAGAAACAGGGCTTTAATATTTCCAGACAAGGGTACCCCACACAAGCAGACTAAGAAGGACTGTCAAGGCCTAGCAATGAAGTTTGTGGAGATTCTGTTATATTGAGAATCCCACAAGACATTTTTAATCTCACGCTGGTTTGATATAAATGGAGCTGTATTTAAATAAATAATCTCACACTGGTTTGATATAAATGGAGCTGCATTTAAATAAATACTAGTTTCTTGCAAAGTATATTAAAAAATGCAGTTAATTGTGTCAATTTACAAATCAGCATTTTCTAAACTTAAGTTAAACACTGTTTGATCTAAATGCTATCAAGTTCAAAAAGAAAAAAAAAGTTCTGCAATTCAATGAAGATTCATTTGTAATAACACTAACACAATATTATACTTCTGGATTTCACAATAGCTTCACAGCTTGCTTTAAAGAGGATTTCTGAAAAAGGATTACTGGGATGAAGCAGAAGTGAATTCCTGACATCTTGATATCAACACATTCATACACACACACAGAAGCATAGGCTTCTTTTCTTTAGAAGATTTAAATGTGATTTAACCAATTGCTATTTATTTTAAAAGTTAGAAAAATATATCTAAGCAGCAGCTTTTCCCAAGACTTTGTAACAAACGATGCTGAAGAAAAGTCTAGTCCTAAGTATTATGAGTCTCTGAATATTAGCCAAGCCTGGCATTTAGCCATTCACAGCACAGGAACTTTAAATTTTCCTGGAGAATAATTTAAAGATTGTATTTCATACACATTCTGTTAAGGAAGACAGCATCTGAATACAACTGAATTCTTTCACTATTATCATATTAAATATTAAGATGTGCGATGCACCCTGAGAAAAATGTTAGAATTTTATACAAAGTTCAGGTGAAAAGGAACAGAATAAAATTAAAAGTAGAAAAAATCTGAGGGAAAAATGCCATTTTCCATAATGCCATGCTAGCCAAAATACTGTGTGAATGACTTGTGGCATC